AAATGATAACCAGTAAGGTAGTACTGGTTATCAGCATATGATACAGTTAAATGTAGAAACGTTTAACCATTCACATCCCTGGTTCAAATCTGCATTACAAAACACATTCCCTTGCTCTCCCAAAGTTTGAATAATTGGTCAATATCTTATTTGCTGCTCAGTAAGGGGTCACATAAGTATCCTCTACCTCAGAGGCTCTCAAACTTTCTTACTGCCTACCCCCTTCCAGATTTACCAGCCGACCATGTATCCCTACCACTATATAGTTTATATTGTAACCCCTTAAATGCCAGTTATTCTAATGAAAATTAAATCTGCCGTTACACAATTTCTCCTGCGTATTCCCCAGAGATGTCTTGCGTACCCCCAGGGGTACATGTACCACAGTTTGGGAACGCCTGCTTTCTAACTGCTTCTCAACCTTTTTAGACTCAAGACCCCTCAGAAAATGCCAGCTCTTAGCTTTCACTCATTTTTTTAACTACAGACAAATAGAGCAATTCTGTTGCAAAAAACTCAGACCACCATAGATTCATAGATGTTAGCAGCTGGAAAGGATCTCTCAATATCATCAGGTCCAGCCCCCCTGTGCTTGGGCAGAAAAATCTACTGGGGTCAGATGACTCCAGCAAGGTGAGCACCCAGACATTTTTGAAGATACCCAGAGTAGGTGATTGTACCACCTCTGGCGGGCGTCTATTCCAGGCCCTAGATACTCGAGTGTAAAGAAGTTTTTCCTTACATCTACTGTAATCTAAACTGGTCAGCTAGCAATTTATGACTATTGGTCCTAGTCTTCCCCTGGGGAGCCCTGGTGAACAGACATTTTCCCAGTCCCTGCTATGCGCCCCTTAGGCTGCCAACGAGTTCTCTCAGTCTTCTCTTCTCCAGGATGAATAGACCCATATCTCTCAGCCTCTCATTGTATGGCATTGGAGAAAATATTGTAAAAGTTCTCCTGGGTAGAAATGAAAGTTCATATTTCATAGGATTTCACAGAGGAGTCAATAGAAATATGAAATTTCATTTCTACCAAGAAGAACTTTTACAATCTTTTCTCCAATGCCTGATGAAGGGTGTTTGTGCTCAAAAGCTTGTAATTAAAGAGATTTTTTTTCAAAAATCTTGTTGGTCTAATAAAAGATATGTCTACTATGAGTCCTGATTGCCTTTTGCCAGTCAGTGGAGCTACTATGAAACTATGAGTTAGTGCCTGACTCACAGCAAACTGCACTGTTCTAAAGAGCCTCTAAAGCTGTTCTCTTCCAAGAGCTATGATACCAGCTTCCTGGTGAAGTTTCCTGGCTAGGATAAAACTTAGTGTATGGAAGCAACAAAGTAAGAAATGAGAAGAGGAGATAAACAAAAGCAAACCATTGAACAAAGGCAATTCTTATGAGAGACTGCAGCCAGGGACCTTATTTGGGGATACTAGAGATGTCCAGAAGGTTGCCAGTGTCTCACTGGGTCATTTACCACCATCCACAATTATGTTTCATCTTTTAGACACTAAGTTCTTCAGGGCAAGGACTGTCATTTGCTGAATGTCTGTATAGTGCCAAGCATGAGGCCCCAACACTACAATGCAGAAGTAGTAAATAGATACACTGGTCATCACAGCTGGCTCCGACATGAATACTTTCCCATCTCAATTGATTTTCATTTTCTGTGTCTGCAATATAGGGGCAGGCACAATTCAAGGAGGGGATTTATGGTATTTATGTTAGGAGAAGTTTCCATCTGTGGTCTATAGACCACAGTTGATCCACAGAGCACTAGCAGGTCACATGCTACTGATTTCTTTATCTTTAGCTGCCTCAGGGTCAAACCAGCTGCTTCTATTCAGGTCTCATGCTATGCACTGACTGAACCATCTCCCTTTTTCACACTCTATTAAGGCATGGTCTATTCTGAAAACGTTTGTGAACTTCTGGTTTATAGGAAGAGCAGCAATTCACGCACATTTCTATTCCTTTCTGCTTTGGCCCTAAATTGAACATAAAATAAAACAAGCCAGAACTGTTTCTCACTGCTTAGAATTAAAATCACAAATAATCAAAAAGGGCCTAAATAACAATATCATGTCACTACATCCTCATCCCACTTGGGACAAGAAAAATATTTGATAATGAGAGCTACAGGTAATCTTGAAAAGCAAGGTGCACTTTCACCTCCGGTTCCTGTTGTGATACCGAATTTTCATGTCAAAGGCTTTGGCCCGCTTGGCCACTTTATAGCCAATCCTGCCCATTCCAATGATCCCAAGGGTCGCCCCAGTGACATCCTCTCCCAGCCAGTCAGCAGCAAACTGCTCAGTGTCTGGGGAAACTGCAATCTGACGTCCTAAAAAAAACAAAACAAATATTATGTGAGGAGTAGCATGGTTCCAAGCCTCCATATAACTCTACTTTTGGTCACAAGCTATCATGGGAGTAGAGGACCACCTTTTGACCCTAAAACATGATGTTGCATTGACAGGCAGGGCTCTTGACTTAATTACATGCTCATGACAGTATAAATCTCTAACTCCTACTGGAAGAGAGTAAGGGAATGGAATGAGACACTAGACTTAACCTCCGTTTCACATTCAAAACAAAACTGCCAGATTTCCTGGGCTCTGTAAATATTGCCAACCCTTAGACTTATACCTGAGCCAATTTAGCTTCTATTCAGTGTGGCTGGTCATTAGAAGCTAAGCCCCATCTATGAGATGCTGTGGACACTATGAAATATAGGTACTAGTAGCACTGTAGGACTTTCAGTGGAACCAAAGATTCTCCATTTCCTGGTGGCTCCAGGATACTTGGCTGCCACTGGGCTCTCCTGCAGATATACAAAAGGCAGCAAAGAGAAGAGACACAGAGCAGGGAATACCAGCTGCTGGGGAACCAGTTGATATCAGTCTTAGAGGCAAAGTTCACTGCTCCCTGAAAAGCTTTAGGAGATAAATCCTAATCCTTTGGGTGGGTGGAAAAGGGAGCATATCTGTCTTACTGCTATTTTTGTTTGGGAATTGTACATATCACATGTGTGGGTAAAGTTCTTATGGCCCCCTCTACACATTACATTTATGCTATGATTAACATGTTAAATCACAGCATAAATGGCAAAGGTGTTATATGTGCACCCAATTTAAGGTGTCATAAAATGGCAAATCAGCCATGACAATGTTTTATGTACAATAATAATGTGGAACATTTTTATGGCTGGTTTGTATGGTGCCTTAAGTTAAATATGTGGCAGGTCTGGGGCCCAGGCTGACAATCAGCTGATTGTTGGTGCCAGGACACGATTGCACTGGGGTCTGAAACCATCCCTGCTGATCATCAGCCTTGGACCCAGATCTGTGGGCACCTGGCTTCGACTTGCCAGACCAGGATCATGAATCTGAGCTCCCCCTGTACTGACAAGTAGAAAGGGTATGATTCAGATCTGATCCCCAATCCCATAATCGTACCTCTTCCCACATGTTTGGCATGGTAGAAGTTGTGATTGTTGGGATCAAGTATAGATCTGAAAGCCACCTTAGCAAAATGCTTAGCATAAGCAATGTCATTTTGTGCCATGACATAACTAATACAGCTAACTAAAAGGATAGCAAGTGGGTCACAGTTTAGGGTGACCTTTTTATAATCTAATCTATCTGAGCAAAAAAGTTAAGAGGATGTGGTTTAGCAGTTTGAGACATCAGGATGCAGATGGCAGCCTAACAGGAAAATGACCACTGTAAAAGGTAATTGGTAAATATTGATGATATAATCATATAAGACATACAGAAGAGAACTGTAAAAAAGTATATAAAAAAACCAAGGAAAAATGGAATAGTCTCACCAGTCATTTCATTTCCATTCACACCACCCCTTAACTAAATTTAGTGCAACCCAGGGAGCAGATCCCATGGCACCTTTAAATGAACATGTGCCAGGGGCCTGTGAGATATTTACCTTCATTTTTCTCCATACCTTGCTTTTTGTGCACATACATTTTACCCTTAATTTTGTATTAACATATATTTTATACAACAACTTCTAAGAAGTCATTTTATATTTAAAAAAAAGTACCAAACAATATGAATTGTTACCTTCTACCAATCTCCTGGAAGATGCTAGCATTAACGCTATGCCCAGGTCTGCAGTGGCATTAGACACAGCAAACGGGGTATTGGTCACTTTCACTCCAAAGCTAGAGATCAGTTTCAAGTCCAAGTGATCCACTCCTACCCCAAAGTTTGCTATCACCTTTAAGTTAGGAAGGCTCTGGAGCAGCTCCTGGTTAACAGCTGGCTTTTGCCACCATATATAAATAGCTTTGATCTTTTCACCAAAACATTTTTGGTTTTCAAGAAATTCCTTCATGGCAACAAGGTTAAAATATTTCTTCAGAAACTCCGTGTGCTCCAAATACACTCCATGTGTCCCTCCTATACTGTCTGTCAGCACATAAGGCAACTCCTTCTCTTCCATGACCTAGAAAAGGGATGAAAAACTGTGTTTTCATAAGTAACATTTCCCCACACATGTTTTGTTTCAAACAGTTCAACAGGGCTGTTATACAACCATTTTCTAGTTTAAAGTCCAAACTATATTAATCATATTTCTTCTGAAAATCTGTTGCTGCACTATTCTGTAGCTAGTTGTAACAAGTACTCATCCCCGGGGGGGGGGCTGTGACACCTCCTGGTGGCTGCTCAGTCCTTGCCTAGCTGGCTGTCCTTGCACACTCTCTTTCACTTGCCCACCAGGCCTTGGTTTTATTGTCTTTTAGAAAAAGGGAGGCTACCCCAGGGCTTCCCATGTCAGATCCCCTCTTGTGAACACAGATCCATAGATTCATAGATTGTAAGGCTGGAAGGGACCTTGGAAGATCATTGGGTCCAGCCCCCTGCACCAGGCAGGCAAGAAAGGTGGGGTCAGGTGACCCAGCAAGGTGCCTGTTCAGTCTCCTCTTGAAGGTTTCCAGGGTAGGTGATTGCACCACCTCTGGAGGGAGTTTATTCCACAGTCTAGACACTCTAACTGGGAAGAAGTTTTTCCTAATGTTGAGCGTGAAATGGTCTTCCAGGAGTTTGTGACCATTACTCCTGTTTTTCCCCAAGGGTGCCCTGGTGAACAGTTGTTGACTGAGCCCTTGATGTACTTCCCTGATGTAGTGGTAAGCCACCAACAAGCTCCCTCTCAGCCTTCTCTTTTTCAGGCTGAAGAGTCCCAGGTCCCTCAGCCTTTCTTCGTATGGCTTGCCATGCAAGTCTCTAGTCATATGGGTGGCCTTTCTCTGGACTCTCTCACGTTTTCCCATGTCCTTGTTAAAGTTCAGCACCCAGAACTGGACACAGTACTCCACTTAGGGTCTCACCAGTGCTGAGCAGAGGGGAAGAATAACTTACTTGGTTTTGCTGGAGATGCATCGATTGATGCATGCCAGGGTATTATTTGCCCTGCTGGCAACAGCGTCGCACTGCCAGCTAGTTGTCATACTGTGGTCTATTATTACACCCAGGTCTCTTTCATTTGTGGTGCTGGTCAGTTTGGCACAACCAAGCCTGTAAGTGTGTAGGGGATTGTTCATCTCCAGGTGGAGCATTTTACATTTCTCAATGTTTAATTTAATCTGGTTCCGACTCACCCAACTTGCTAGCCTGTCTAGATTCACCTATATCTGTAGCTTATCTTCAAGTGTGACTATACTTCCCCATAACTTGGTGTCATTTGCAAACTTCGCCAGTGAGCTCTTCACCCCCATACGCAAATAACTGATAAAGATGTTGAAAAGTACTGGACCAAGCACCAACCCCTGTGGCACACCACTGGCCACTTCTCGCCAGGATGACACAGATCCATTCATTAGGACTCTCTGGGTCCTACCCTGTAGCCAGCTTCATACCCACCTAACTGTCTCACAGGTAAGCCCACAATCCTCCAATTTTCTCATGAGAACATTGTGGGATACCAGATCAAAGTCTTTTTAGAAGTCAAGGTATACAACATCAACCTCCTCTCTCTTATCCAGGTGGTGAATTACCTGATCATAAAAGGAGATGAGGTTGGTAAGACAAGACCTGCCCATGACAAAGCCATGCTGGCTGGCATTCAGAAGCCTACCTTCTGCAAGCCTATCACACATAGACTCCTTAATGAATTTTTTCCAGGACTTTCCCTGGGATAGACATTAGGCTAATTGACCCATAGTTATTATGTCCATGCTCATTGCCGTAAGGGTTAAGTATGTGGCTCTGACCTCCCCTTTACACCATGCCCATGCCTCAGAGATGGTATCCATCTGTCAGATCACTCCCTTGTAAGGGTTTTGGCCCGCTTGGCCTCTGTCCCTGTTCTCTCACTAGGTCGCTTATCTCAGGATTCACTGTTTCAGACCCAGCTTCTGGGCTTCAGCCCTAGCCTTGCCCTATTGGGCTCTGGCTTAGCCCTTCTTGGGCTTTGGCCCCCTGGTCCCCAAACTCTGCCCTGCTCCAGGCACTGGGCCCCCTGGCCATGTCTTGAACCTGCCCCTAACAAGACTCAAGGCAATCACATGAGCTTGACACTCCCTTAGCAGCCTCCCTGACCCAGAGCTCTTATCCAGCAGTTTGCAGGGTGAGACTGTCATGCCTCAAGCCTGGCCACCTTCTGGTCAGGTGACTCCCTAACCACCTGCAGCGATTACTCCTCAGGGTCTAATGAATGACCGATGCCATTGTGACTCCTCATCTAGCAGCGTCCTGCTGCTTGAGTTGGGCATTGCCCTGTGGGCTTATTTGTGGGCTGCCAAACCTGCAGTAAGCAGTCATGGCCTCAGGTCTCCAGCTGCCTGTTTCCTGCCAGCCAGCTAGCTCTAGGCTCAGATATCCTGACTGGCAGCAGGTACAACCCTTTACCATGATGGGACTCTCCCCTGCCTGGGCAGCAGGGTTTTGCCATTGCCTCGCTTCTCTACCCACGGTTTTTTCTTCATAAAGTAAGAGGAGTCACCAGCTTTTTGTTACAGTAGTCCAGTATGTGCAGAGTTTTGTTACTATGGCAAGAATGGATTGTATGTCATGCTACAAACAGTATATTCTGACATCCATATGTGAAAAACAACAAAATAAAATTTAACAGAAAGAGTTAAACAATATCTATTTAGAGGTCAAAGTCTATATAAAGTCAGAGTTTTGTGGGTTAAAAGAGGTCTCTGAACTCACAGATCTGTGATTTAGTTCCCACTTATGTAACTCAACTTAATGAATTTGAACAAGAGTATCTAGAGATATAATTTAAACTAACACAATTAGTCTATTTATAGTATATGGGGACTGAAGTCACTGCACCAGTTTATTTTGTATCTAAAATTACTTTCAATGGGAAAAAATCACAGTGCAATATATTGATGTGTCTGCAATCTGCTTACTCTTGAAAGATCTGCCATTTGAAACTCAACTACATTTATTAAAGACAGACAAGCTAAATGTTATTCTTTCTCCATTTTTGTAGGGATAAAGTTGAAACAAAGTTTGGGGTAAAAACTAGCACAATTTATAAACTGTATCTCTAAAGATTGGTTAAAAACATAAATAAGGTTAACTGCACCACAGCCTTTGAAAACAAATGCATCATTATATTAACACCTCCTGGGGGAGAAAAAGCAAAAGCAGCACCATTCAAAACTCTAGTAAATCAGACACAACAACAAGTCATAACAAAAAACATAACTTTTTGAACAGGATGCTTCATAGGTGGCTTCTAGGGTATGTACAGAAGTTGCTTTCTTTCGCCATGTAAAGCATTCTATTGCTGTGATTTAACAGAAGTGCACAGCTTTACAGCACTTTAAAAATGGGTCCAGTGCTTTAAATTATTGTATTTTCTCGCATATAGTCCATGGGTGATGTAAGTTTTTACAAACATGAAGGATGGTTGTGGGCTATACAAGGGTGTGGGCTATGCAGACCCCTCCACGCCCAGTGGCGCCTCCACTGCCGTGAGGGCTGGGGTGGGCTGGGCTGTGCCACCACTGCCGCGGGGGCCAGGGCGGGGGGCGGTGGCGCGGGTGGGCTGGGGGTGCTGCGGAGGCCGGGGCGGGCCAGGCTGTGCCGCTGGGGGCCGGGGCAGGTGGCGGTGGCACGGGCAGGCTGGGGGGCCGCAGTGGGGCCTCGCCCTCTGTCTCCTTCTCGCTTGGGGGTGATGCCACCGCGGCCGCTGCCTGCCGGGGCATGTCGTGGACACTGGCCGAGACCAACGCACTGATCGCCATGTGGGGCAATTAGCGGCTGGGTAAGGAGCGGTCGTTACCCCCACCCAGTACCAACACTATCAGGTGCGGGGAATACATGGGCGCAGTCTATACATGGACTATTTTCCAAAAATACGATTTTCCATGGGTTATACATTGGTTTGGCTTATATCCGTGTGTGGACTATATGCATGAAAATACAGCAATCCTTGTTAAATGAGGTAATAAATTTGAAGTGCCATATTTTACAGCACTTTAGCACCCTACAGTGCTTTAAATGGCTGAGGACCAGATGCTTGGAGTTGGACTGTCAGCCTAGGTGAGAGCTGCTGCCCAGGCTGTAGCAGAAGCTGTGCCTGCTCCTAGCACAGGAGGTGGGGGAGACAGCAGGGGTAGGATGAGAGGCTGAGTGACAACCTCTTATCCCAACTTTGCCTCCTCCACTGGTCTGCTGCTGTCCAGTCTCCTGTTGCCCCAGGCAGCTGTGGAGTGCCCCCTGCTTCTTAGCCTGGAAAATGCAGGGAGGCTCAGAGGCCCTCTTCACCAAACACTGCACTTCTGTCATGTTTAAAAACACTGTAACTTTATCATGTTATAAAGGGTGCTCTAAATTACATCACTGTAAAACATGCATGGAGCACATCTGTAGACACCCATAGTTGCTGGAAAAATTTTAAAAGCACTTACAATTTTCACAGTCAGCCTGCAGATGGAGTTGAAGAGACTCAAACACCTTAGAGGAGGGGGTGTCAACCAGGGGGTACTTGGGAAGCGATGCAGAGAAGTGGGGGCACTTCCGGTTTTGCTTCTGGTTTTGCCCCCACAACCACGGCTCATTGAATGGCCAGGGGACTCCTTGCTTCTCAACCAGGCGCCAGGGCTACACCAACCCAAAAAGGTTGAAAACCCCTGCCTTAGAATACAGAACTTGTCTTTGTTGGTATTTATTCTTCACTTCAGAGAAATAAATCTTTCAAAAGTACTCTCCTCCTTGCATTTTATATCAACAGGAGTTGGGGTCAGAGTAGCAGATGTGGTTTTGACAGATCTGTCCCACAAAGAGGAACAGCTTGCCTCCCTGAAATGTGATAGAGATTCCCCACCTGAGGCTCAACCCCCAGTGTCCTTTGCTCATCTTTCCTCTGCTCTGAATGTACCAGTCAGCCATTTTTTTAATAAGCAGATTCCCTCTAGCTCTGTGCCTCAATACATGCTCCTTCACTGACTACTCCCAAGCTAGATGCCTTATGGGACCCTCCTGCCACTTCATGTTCTTCTTGCAAGGGACAAATTGTGGTCTTGTAATAGAGGTGGAAGGTTACATCCGGAATACATAGTCTGGAGTTTGAGAATATTATCTAGCAGTGGTCAAGTGCTGACAAACCAATCCACCTCTCACAGCCCCTCTTCCCCATTCCAGCACTCCTGGAAACAAATGTCATTGGTTATTCAGTGACTCCTAGATAAATGCAAAAAGCTGGTATGCTTTTTTCTTGAACTAACCAGTTTGGCACTGGTTATGGAGACTTAAACAACACTATGATTTTCATACAAGCTTCAGGTATGTAAGTGTATATGATAATTTGCACTCACTGGGCATGTCTACATGAGACATTTACTGTGGAGCTGACTATTTAGCTCCGCAGTGGGTACAGCTACATGTTCGTTGATGTGCTTTTGCTACTGTGCATTAAATTAACATCTCTAATGTGACCTACTAACTAAATGCACATTAGGCTGCACTAATGCACAGTAGTGAAAGCACATGCTTTTTTAGTGACACTTAATGTTCAGTAGGCAAATTTTACTGCACATTAGCATATTAGCACAGTTTTTGCCATGACTAATGTGCAGTAAAATAGGCTATTGTGCATTAAAGTACACGTGTAGGCAAGCCCAGTTAATGTCACTTCTGACTTCTGGTTTCGCCTCTGTGAGCTGAGTTTTAATTTGTCACTTCTTTGGCCTGCGGCCCACAGCAAAGCAGCCTGCGCGGGGGCCCCCTCCCTGTACCCCGGCGAGCACACCAGACTGTGCATATTTGATTAACCGGCATATTTGATTAGCTGGCATACCCCATTCCCAGGGGATGCCAGATAATAGAGCTTTTACTCCTGCAGAGTTTTTTTTTGGTGTGCAGAAGCACACGTGTAGATGCTGACCCAGCTGGCTGGGGCATAAGGGTGCTTCAGTGTGGGGGCTGCCTGCTGCCTAACCCTGTCCTGAAGCACCCTCATGCCCCAACCAGCCCCCTCCACTGTTGGAGCAGCCCTGGGCTGGCAGGCTGACCCCTGGGCTCCTGTCAACTGGGGCTGATCTGACCGGTCTTCCTATGCCGTGCATGAATAAACTCTGGAGCTGATTGCTCTGGAGTTAATTACTCCTGGGCACACACTTAAACAATGAGCCTGGGAGAAAAAAACTCTGGAGCAATAAACTCCAGAGCTTATTCATGTGCACTCATTGCACATGTAGATGCATCCACTGTGAGCAACACTACCTCTAGATTTTTGTAGGAAGGGAAGAGACAGACTGGCTAAAGGCAATACTGTGTGGAGCCCATAGTGGTTGAGAGAAGGAAAAAAGCAAGAGGATTTGGCTATTACAGAGACAAATTCTCTTTGATATTCACAGGGCTAGGAAACTGGGATGAGTCTGGTTAAATTCAGAGGAAAGGAAGGGAAGTAGCTGCTGAAGTATCCCATCAAGGTGCACAGAGATGCTTCTGAAAAGCATGTCAAGGATTTCTTAGGGTGATTTCTTTTATTGGATCAACTTGCTTAGGAACACACCTAGCGGCAGATATTTATAGAGATGATCTTGTATCAGAAACTCTGAATTTAAACCACCCATACCCAGTTCCATCAGCATCTAGGCTTTCCAGGTCAGGTCCTGTTTCTAATATTTCCAAGTTTTTTTCCTTGTACAATATCTGAGTTCCCCTATATAGGCAGGGTTTTTTGTTATTGTTTTTTTAATTACTGGTACTTCATTTCAAATCTAGTGGGGCGGGAGACAGGACTCTAGAAAGATACAGAAGGAAGACTAGTTTTGAGTGGAGGACCTTTTTGTAATTTTAAATTAGAAGAACACTGTGATATTACAGAAAAGTCAGACTTCCCACTCTTCTGAGACTGCTATGTCATCAGCTGAGGAGAGTCATGACCCACAAAGCTTGTTTCTGAACAATATGATAGCTACAGAACAGCAGCAGCAGAAGGGCTAAAAGGCCAGAGTTAAAACATCATTTTAAAACATCAACTTCTTCACAGTAAGGGTGGCCAAAATTTGGAATGAGCTTCCAAGGGAGGTGGTTTTCTCCCCTACCCTGGGGGTCTTTAAGAGAAGGCTGGATAGGCATTTGGCTGGGATCATCTGACCCCAGCACTCTTTCCTGCCTAGGCAGGGGGTCGGACTCGATGATTTGTTGAGGTCCCTTCCGACCCTAACATCTATGAATCTATGAATCATGCCCTTCTTGAGATGCATTGTCTGCTAGCAAGCTGACAGCATTTATTTGCTGTCTGCAGAATGACTCAAAAGTTGTTTTAAACAAATGAAAGTTACCTCTTTAGAAGCACTTCTTGCAGATATTTCAGAGAGCTGTGCTGAGCAATTTGCCTTTTCTAGTCTTGCTGCGAATCCAGAAGTGCAGAATCAGCAAGTCACAAGGAAAGATGACGTTCAGCCCTGCTCAAATTTCAAGCCCTCGGAAGCTGTAGATTGAAAGATTGGAGTTGATTGCTGAGAAGCAAAGAGAGCAGTGAGAGGGAGTAATTTTCTATGGATAAGGTACTGGAGTGGAAACCTAGGCTGCCTGCTGACAATGTGTGAGAGAGCACGCTCCCTTTGGAAAATGTGAAGTTTTTCTCTCTCAGGGCATTCATTCAGTGCCATAAACTCATTTCTTTGCCTGCTTCATAAATGGTAAATCAAGATTATGTCAATATATTGAGTAGAACGGTAAGAACTTCTTGGCTGAGAGAGGTGGTAGTAACCCCAGGTCTTAGCTGAGAAAGAGCTATGAATGTCTTAAACATTACTGCACTCAGCTCCCCAGCCTGTTCCCCACCCAGCTCTGCACTGGTGGAGCTGAGCCAGGAACAGGTGCTCCAGAGCTTCCCCTAGTGGTGGCAGGGGCCCATTGCAGGGCCCCAGGAAGTGAGAGCAGTTTGCTGCTCCTGCTTTCCAACATGTGTAGACACCTGCCTGGGAGCATTTACTCACAAGTAGTTTACTCACGAGTAAACTGCTCCTGTATATAATGCACATGTAGACACACCCTGTAAATCCCAAAAGAGTAACAAAAGAGAACTGCTGTGATGCAACTCATTTCAAACAGGTTTCTTAGAGAGGACCGATTGAGATTATAGGCATCCTGACATTATTTAGAGAGTATGTCTAAATCAGGTGCCAAACTTACAGTTAATTGCCTGGCCCACAGACCCTTGCTCCATTGCCACCACTGCTGCTGCTGCAGTAGCCACTCCTGCTCCTGCCACAGTGGTCATTGTGTAGCTGTGGTGGTTGCTGCCACTGTCACCACTGCATCCACTGCTCTGGTGGCCACAGCAGCCTGATCCGGCCCACAAGAAGCCCTGCAGCCTGGATCTGGCCCAGGGTTCCAGGCCAATTTGATACCATTGGTCTAAATGGCACAAGGCAGCTCTATGCAGATGTGCCTGAAATAACTCTGATTGTGCTAGCTCCTGAACTGGAAGCAATACAGCAGTTTTTGCACAATGCTTCACCCAGATTAATTAACCCTGCTGAGAAATGGTATTATGTATGGCAAACAACAAAATAGGGCATACACCATTCAAACTCCCCTGTGCTGAGCCTAGCAAATGCTAAAGTACTAAGCAGAATTGTGCACAGCCTTTTAGCAGAATTATTAAGATTATTACACACTAAAATAAGAGAGGTTCTGATCAGATTGGAGAGACGTATGTCCTCTCTGTTACACTATGAGCCCATCTACACTTGAAATTAGCCTGGCTAAATAAACTCCAGCACAGTTTGTACCAGAGTTTATTGCTCCTGGGTGCAGTGTCTTCACACGCGCCCAGGACCACAGCATGTGGAGCTAGGGTAGAGTATCCCTGGCTGGCAGGGAGCTCTGGGGGCCATCCTGCAAGTCCAGGGCTCCTATGATCCAGTTCAACGAGCTGCAGAGGAGCTGGCTGGGGCATGATGGTGCTTCGTTGGGGGTCTGCTCCATGATTTTTCTAGGGACTTATGTGAAGCTGACTGGTCTATTGTTCCCTGACTCCTCCTTTTTCCCTTTCTTAAATATGGGCACTATGTTTGCCCTTTTCCAATCATCCAGGACCTCTCCTGATAGCCATGAGTTTTCAAAGATGATGCCCAGCACCTCTGTAATCACATCAGCCAACTTCCTCAGCACCCTTGGGTGCATCCCATCTGGCCCCACAAACTTGTACCAAATAGTCCCTAACCTGGTTTCACCACTGTTGGCTGCTCCCGTCCTCCCCAAACTGTGTTGCCTGGAGCTTACCTTGCCTGTGACAACTGAGATGAAAAAGGCATTGAACACTTCAACCTTTTCTACATCCTCTGTCACTAGTTTGCCCTTCCCCCCATTTAGTAAGGACCCAATTTCCCTGGTCTTTCTCTTGTTACTGACATACTTGCAGAAACCCTTCTTGTTACCCTTCATGTTCCTTGCTAGCTGCAACTCCAATTGTGCTTTGGCCTTCCTGACTTCATAGTTTCATAGTAGCTAGGGTCAGGAGGGACCTGAACAAATCATCTAGCCTGACCCCCTGCCACAGGCAGGAATGAATGCTGGGTTCACAAGACCCCAGACAGGTGATTGTCCAACCTCCTCTTGAATTTGCCCAAGGTAGGGGCAAGGACCACTTCCCTGGGAAGTTGGTTCCAGAGTTTTAGTTTATTTTAGTTAGCCACCCTAACTAAAATATTGCCTTCTGATCTCCAACCTAAACCTATTCTCCATCAGCTTATGACCATTGTTCCTTGTCACCCCAGGTGGTGCTGGGGAGAAAAGGGCTCTGCCTATTTGCTGTTGATCTCCCCTGATGAGCTTGTAGGCAGCCACCAGGTCCCCCCTCAGCCTTCTCTTGCTGAGGCTGAACAGGTTCAGGTCCCTCAGTCTCTCCTCATAGAGCCTTTCCTGCTGCCCTCTCACCAAGTGGGTGACCCTCTTCTGAACCCTCTCCAGGCTGGCCACATCCCTTTTGAAGTGTGGTGCCCAGTACTGGACGCAGTACTCCAACTGCGGCCTGACCAAAGTCACAGAGAGGGGGAATATCACCTCTCTGAACCGACTTGAGATGCATCTTTGGATGCATGACAAGGTATGGCTGGCCTTGCTGGCTGCGGTCTGGCATTGACAGCTCACGTTCATCTTGGAGTCAATAATAACTCGAAGATCCCATTCCGCCTGTGCTTTCAAGAAGGGAACGCCCCAGCCTGTATGTATGCTGTGGATTCCTTCTCCCAAGGTGCAGCACCCTGCATTTTCTATTATATAATGGATATAATATAGTATTATATTAATATTGTGTTCTATAATATTATATATATTATTATTATTATTATTTATAATAGAGTAACTTTAAAACTTTTCATGCTTGAAATGCAATAAAATTGACCAAGGTTTAATTTTTAATTCTATCCCTAGTGTTTTTCTTGGTCCAAAGGAAGACCTACACAGCTGTACCCTAGTAATGGAATATTGGTCATGTGAGCATACCTAGTTTACGATGAAGTCGCTTAATTTATTGATGAGGATGGGGTGAGAGACAGTGTCAAAGGCCTTCTTAAAGTCTAGAAAGACTATATCCCCGGCGACACCATCATCCAACGATTTAGTTACTTGATCATACAAGGCAATCAGGTTGGTCAGGCAGGACCTTCCTTTGATGAACCCATGTTGATTGCCCTAAGCACGATCTCCCCTGCAGGCCCCCCACAGATGTGCTCCTTGATAATTCTCTCCAAGATCTTCCTGAGCACCGAGGTGAGGCTTACAAGCCTACAGTTACTTGGGTCCTCCTTCCTCCCTTTCTTGAAAATTGGGACCACATTAGCCAGTTTCCAATCCCCCAGCACCTGGCCAGATGACCACGAATGCTCATACAGCTGGGCCAAGGGCTCTGCGATGACCCCTGCCAGCTCCCTCAACACCCTTGGGTGGAGGGCATCTGGACCTGCAGATTTAAAAATGTCTAGCCCTTCCAGAAGATCCCTAACTACATCTGCACTGACTGAAGGCCTGATAGAGCTAACCTCGAGATTGTCCCTACCTCTGGTAGGTGGGATGTTGCAGTCCCTGTTCAAGAAATCAGAGGCAAAGAAACTATTAAAAATATCAGCTTTCTTGTCTGGCGTAGCCACAAGATTGTCGTTACTTCATCCCTGCATGCCCAAGCAATGCTCTTATACTGCTCCCTAGTTGTTTATCCAAGTTTCCACTTACAAGCTTCCTTTTTGTGATTTAGTTTACTGAAGAGTTCCCCACTAAGCCAAGCTGGTCTTCTGCCATACTTCCTAGTCTTCCTGCCCATCAAGATGGTTTGTTCCCACACTCTCAGTAAGGCTTCTTTGAAGTACAACCAGCTCTCCTGGACTCCTCTTCCCCTCAGACTGGCTTCCCAGGGGATCCTGCCCATGAGTTCCCTGAGCAAGTTGAAGTCTGCTTTTCTGAAGTCCAGGGTCCTTACTTTGCTGCTTTCCATCCTTCCTTTCCTCTGGATCCTGAACTCAATCATCTGGTGGTCACTGCTGCCCAAGTTGCCAGCTACTAGTACATTTCCCACCAATTCTTCCCTGTTCGTGAGCAGCAGGACAAGAAGAGCATGGCCCCTAGCTGGCCGCTAAGTTTCAGTGGACATTTAAGGGATGACATAAAATTTGATGGAAAATCTATTTTTATATTTAGAAGGCATTATATTTTGTTTTCTGTCTTGAAGGGAAATACTATTTCTAAAAGTCTCCAAAATCAACACAGTTTGCAAAATGTTATCTTGTTTAAATATCATGCAACATGACTTAAAATGGTAATTAAAGTTTTCTGGGATATAAATTTTCAAGGCTTTAAAATTTACAAAATGTTAAATTTGGTTTGGTGGTCTCCTGTATTTAAAAAAAAATCACTGCAAAATGATAAACCAAGAAGGGATTCAACAAGGTCAGACATGTTCACCACAGCTGAAAGTAGGTTTTTTAACATATTGAAAAATACCATGTGATTGTCTCATTTAACTTTCCTGAGAGAACATATTTATTTTGTACTGCATATACACTAGCAATCATCAGCAGCAGACTGCGGTCACAGATCTATTTAATGTTTTTATCCACCTGCAACAGTAACATATACAACTCATTCACAGCTGTATGTATGTGTACAACCTAAAAATCACAACTGGCTTTGAATTCAAGTAAAAGGAAGAGTTTCACATATTTCTAGTAACAAGATTTAATTCCAACAGTTACAGAATAATACTATTTTATAGTTGTGACATCCTTTTATATATGTCAATCAGGAAGCACTTCGCTGGGCATTGGAAGACCATTGAGAGCTGCCAGTATATTTGCAACTGCTTCCTCTGTTATCATGCGAGTGGTCTTGCGTGTTTTAATGCCA